CATACGCACTAACGATCATAGGAAGTTAGTTATGTTACCAACCAAAAAAGTGTAACAAACTCTTGCTGATTCACCATTATATTAACCGTTTCTTGATTACTTACATTTTATTTGGGTTGATATTCATTTTTACTCTGCTTAATCTTGTTAACCTCTCTCTGTTTCCTATGTTTTTCTACTTACTACCATGGCAGAATCTTCAAAACAAAACCCAGAAAAACTCTTTAACTTCAAGATAACCCCATTAAACAATTTTAAACTAGCAATTGATGCACTTTGTGAACGTGATTTCAATCCTATTGGATTTGGAGTGATTGAAGTAACTGAAGATAGAGTTGATTTTACGGCTCGAAATGTCGATACTAATGATGCTGGTCAACTCGTCCTCAATTCTACTGCACTGCAGGATTTCCTTAATACCAGTAAATGTAAGAACAGAATTATGAGGGTTAACTTCAGAAGAATTTCCCAGATTATTACTGTTGCAGAAAGCTGTAATGTTGACTCGATTACCATCTTTCATATTGAAGGAACTAACAGAGTCAACTTCAATTTTGGTAAAATCTTTATGTTCAAGATTTATTTTTTAATTTCTTTTTTAATTAATGTAGTGCCACATTTATGCATGAATTTACTATTTTCTTGTAGATTGTATAATAATTTCTTAAATGAATTATCCATTTTTAGTGATCTTTTTCTCTGTTTAATCCTGTATTGTTGTAATTTGTATTCTGTACTTGTATGTCTTTCTTGATGCAGCACTTTTCGATACGAATTTCGTTTAATGTAGCTTAGTTATCATGGATGTTATTGAATTATATGATGATGTTTAAGTTTAGCATTGAGGTTCTTAATCTTGATATTCTAGTTAAAAAATCTATTTCAGGAAATAATCCGGTTATCGTGAATACAGTGATGTTGTTGCCAATGGCTCCTGGATTTGAGAAATTTCCTGACATAACACTTTCCTGTGAGGCTATTATTCCATCTGAGGCGCTGAGGGCGATGATTAATCGACTCGAAAGGATAGGGAATCAATTAGGTTCTTGTTAATCTCATTCTTTTTTAAACATGTAGTGGAATCTATTAGTCAAATTACATGTATCAACTTAATTGTAACTTGTTTTTCTTTTTTAATTTTCATGTTGTCAGTTTTAGTCGAAATAACAGAAAAAGTTGTAAAAGTCCTTACAGGAGAGAATCAGCAGCCTTGGGAATTCAAGTTTGATGACCAGGTAATGCTTATATGTAAAACTCGAGATGAACTGATTGATTACAGAGGTGGTATGATCCGATAATGAATTCGTGTTACGTGTGGGTTTTGCAGGTTAGTGGATTTAGGGGAACGTCACCGGGGCAAAAACACCGTGCTTGGTTCAAGTGGCCTCACTTGCAGATGCTGAAGATAGCATCACATACAACAGAAGCTGCTCTGATATGTTTTCTAACTGAACCAAAGAATATGATCATGACACGATTCACCCTCCGAGAAGTTGGTCATTTGGTATTCATCAACAAAGCTATCATGATCGACCCTGGCTTTGGTAAAATCCCATCTGATGGCGCTGATTAATCCACTACTGTATTAAATTTAATGTAATGCGAAACTTCAATTGAGAACTTTTTCCTAGAGCAAAATAATAAAAACATTGAGTAATGGACACTAAGCAAATTTAGATGTTCATTATGTGAAATTTTGATCCCTGCCTTTTAATAATTGCATCTCTGCTTGCATTTAGCGGAAAGACTCACTATAACATCTAGCAAAGTTTTTTGTGTTGTACTTCTCATAAATTTTGGTTTCTATGTGTAAACAGATCTCTGTTACAACAAAGGAGAGACTTCAAATCCAAGTGGTGAGAGTAGCCATGCTATTCAAAACACTATAACTACAGAAACTGATTGTGGAGAGATCAATCATCATCCTTTCAACAGTATAAGTATGGGCTCTATTGATGAGAATACTTCACAAAATCAGTTCAATCCTTTGGGAATTGGCGGATTTGTGACAAACAGGCCCGGAGCTGATCCAAGTGGTGAGAGTAGCCATGCTATTCAAAACACTATAACTACAGAAACTGAACAAGGGATTGCACTTGTATGTGACACAAAAGAAACTGATTGTGGAGAGATCAATCGTCATGCTTTACAAAGTGAGCACAATCATACTGCTTTGTGTTCACAATATCAGTTCAATCCTTTGGGAAATGTCGGATTTATGACGAACAGGCCCGGAGCTGATTTTTTTGGTGTGAACAACCAACATGCTATAAATGATGGACAATTTGACAACATGACATTGGAAAATGAACATGGAATTGCTTCATGGGATGGAAATAGTATTGTTGGTGGCCGGAACAACCATCATGCTTTAGATTTGGGACATAACAACTCTCAGAGTTATCATGCTAATGTTATTAGACAAGAGAAAGAAATTACTCCGGAGGCAGTCCTGGAACCGTTGCCTAGATTTGTCAATGCTGAAGAAAAATATGATGGTTAGTTTGCCTAGATTTGTTAGATGCTTCATGCTTAGTTACTTTCTGAGTTTTCCAACCTTGTTTGTTTAATGATTCAAGTTCTTTTATCTGGTTAGTGCACTCTTGCTTACCTTCACCTAGAAAGTTAATGAAGACAATGGGAAATTTAGGTTGTTGAGTTTTGTGATCCTAGTTATGTTAGAACTTTTGTTTACTTGTCAAACACAGCTTTATGAAATCCCCTGATCAAGCTGTAAGTGCTTGTGTGCTTCTACTCTTCTGGTAACAGCAGAAAGCCTCAATATGAGGTATAGCAGGGTTCTCTTGATTGTGCTAGTAAGCAATTTTATTTCTCTGTGCAAACAGTTTTTGTTTCTAGTAGGATTGAAACTCCAAATCAAGAAGTTGAGAGCATCCCTGCTATACAAAATGATCAAAATGACATTACCACTATGCTAATTGAGCAAGATAATGGTGAGAACAGTCATCGTGATTTAGAAAATGGGCAGAAAAAATATTTGGAGGTATCATGATCGCATTTTGTTTGTATTAGAATTGTTAATTATCTGAGATCTGCATTTACATACTCTTGCTAAAATCTGTTTATTCATTGAAGTTTTAATTTCTATTGATGCCACTGATATGTCAAAAGGAAAAATAATGCTGTATTCAATGCAAAACTTCAATTGAGAACTTTTTCCTAGAGCAAAATTATAAAAACATTGAGTAATTTTTTGCCATGTGCGGAGTAACATAAATTTACATCATGCACACTAAGCAATATTTTTTTTTTTTTTGTTGACAATAATGGACACTAAGCAAATTTAGATGTTCATTATGTGAAATTTTGATCCTTGCCTTTTAATAATTTCATCTCCGCTTGCATTTAGCGGAAAGACTCACTATAACATCTAGCAAAGTTTTTTGTGTTGTACTAGTCAAAAATTTTGGTTTCTACGTGTAAACAGATCTCAGTTATAACAAAGGGGAGACTTCAAATCCAAGTGGTGAGAGTAGCCATGCTATTCAAAACACTATAACTACAGAAACTGAACAAGGGATTGCACTTGTATGTGTCACAAAAGAAACTGATTGTGGAGAGATCAATCGTCATGCTTTACAAAGTGAGCACAATCATATCCCTCAAAGTAATAATATCACTCTAGAGATGCTACAACCATTCTGGTCCAATCACACAAAGCTAGTAGACGCAGCAGAAGAACTTGGAGGTATGTTTCCTTTTCTAAATCACTTGTCGTTGAGGTGTTAGTGATTTGAAAACTTTTATTGTTGTTTTGTTTTCAATATAAATATTAATCCCCCCATCTCGCAATTTATGCAAGGACTTACTTTCACCTGATGTCAAATATAAATGATGCATGTTTTAATTTTGGCTTTTCTAAATGATTAATCATACTTGACTTCAATTTGCAGTATCGAGGTCTACATTGAAACGAACAATAAAAGAATTGGGTGTCGAGAAGTGGCCAAGAAAAGGAAGAAAACAACAGCCTGATGCAAAGAAGAGGAAAACAAACAATACAGCACCATTTGAAAGTTATTGCTCACAACAGAATGTGGTGAACCTAGGTAGTTCAGCAGCTCACACGGAAAATGTGCAGTGTATAATGGGATCAGACCTGCATTTGGAAGAGCCCTTAATTGAAAGCCATATGGATATCCAGCAACAAGTCCAAGGGCATCTGGAAGGCGCTCTTCATACAACTGAAAGTTCAGGCACAATTGTTGTAAAAGCCACTTACAAGGAGCATTCAGTGAGAATTGTTTTCTCTTTGACTTTACCGATTAATCAACTAATTGAAGAAATAGGCATGAAGTTCCAACTTGAGTTGAACAAATATAGATTGCTTTATCAAGATGAAGATAAAGAGTGGATGATGCTGACTAGTGTGGAAGATTTGAAGTATGCTTCGGATGTTGCTGAATCATTGGGAACCAAGTTTGTTAGATTGTCTGTTATTGATTAATAACATCTGATGGCCTTGATTAATCCACTACTGTATTAAATTTGGTGTTCTGTTGCACCGGTTTGTAATTCAGCAGCATGGTTAACATTGTTAAGTACTTCATATTAAGTAGTAAGTACACTATGTAATGTGTGATTTTTAGTGAGCTTCCTGAAACTGTGAAAATTACATGTAATTAGCTTTATTGTTTACAATACTAGTGTTCTGTAGAAACATTGCTTAAACATCTTATGTAACAGTCTTTTTCTGAAAACCAAATTATCAGCTTCGACTCCAGACGATACTTACTGCCGTGATTCAGTTATGTACTTATATGAGTGATGATTAGCATGCTGAGATTCTAATAATATGCCTGTTGCCATAAATAAATACTGGAACCAATTATACTCTGATGCACTGATCAGTGATCACATTGATCTTTCACCCTGCATGCACTATTATAGATATATAGCCATACTGATTTATGTTGTATATATGTATCCTTATGATTTATCAACCTATATAATCTTAGAAGAAAAAAAGAAATAGGCAATTGAATTAAAAAAAACCGTTCATCATATAGCTGACATAAGTTGTGAGGGATTACATTGATAACAAATGCAAACTCACTGTTTACATCACTCTTAGACAGAAATTTTGAGGAAAAACTATGAATTCACCCAGCTATACACAATTACATAAACACACAAATTCTAATAGCAATACAATCTAGCTATTTCCATCACTTCATCCGTCCACACAGTAGGCATCAGTCATTCCACTTAATCGACCAAAAGATATATTTCTCAGTTTGAAAACAAACAGAAAAATTGAATTCAGAATATTTCACTACCTGTCATTTCTTTTCTATGTGCTTTCTGTACAACATAGAGTTCTGAAATCTGTAGTAGCCCAGTCCTGAGACTTATTTCAGACTCTTGTTGAAGTGAGCATCTCTTAATTTCCAATCCAGAATTTATCCTCAGAAAACACGGGAAAATTTTACAGCCTTCGATGAGTCCTAATAAAATTTGTTGTATTCAATGCTATTGCAGCAGAGCAAGCATATACTCCAGCCAAGCACAGTGAAGTGGTAACTAACCAAAGAGCTTTCCACTGTCTTCCTGAAACAAGTATGGCAAATCCAGTGGACAAAACAGCGATGACAGACAGGGCTTTTTTCCATGCTTCAAATGCTTGTAAAACACCACTACACTCCTTGCAATGGATCACATGTCGGAAATACCTGTTAGCCCAATTCGGAGCATACATTGTCCCTAGCCCACCTTTAGCAGGAGATTGAGCTGAGAGCCCAGCAACTAGGCCTGCTGGGGCATGCTCAACAACTGCTGGAACTTCAGGGAGCGAAATAGTACTGTGCCCAAAATGGTAAGGCATACCATGTCCAACTTTATCCATCCACTTCCTGTATTCTGCAACCCAAGTGTCAGAAGACTTCAGATTCAAATAGAGTTTCTTTGTGGGGACTTTCTCTGTGATCAAAACCTCGTTTTGAGACGAAAGGAAGCCCATGTCTTGCTCAAATACCTTACTAGCGTTTTGGTGGAAATACCATTTGGGGAAAAATTTAGCAAGAGGCGATCGTTTAGTGGTTCCAAACCTCACAATGAGCATGGATTTACCCTGTCCTGATGGTCTGCAAAGGAAGAGCCCAGTGAAGTAGTGTTTCTCTCCCTTTTCATCAACTAACTCTCTGCTATTTGACAGCACACAAGGTGCCTCAAACCTCAGAAAATTAAGCATAGACTTCTCGCTTTCTTTTCCCCACCAGCCAGCAAATCCTCGTTCTGTTCTCTCAGTAACCTCGAAAAGCAAAGGTTGAGCATCTTCACGCTTTGCAGTCCAATCAGTCCGATCATGGGAGATCGGGATGTGGGCTGGATCCATTAGGTTCTCGAGGAGAATAGAGTGGTCATATGGAAGCTCATGTGTCGTCGAGACATCTTGAAAACCTGGCCTAGCAAAGTTTTCAAACCAAGGGATTTTCTTGGCGTTTGGCGGGGTTCTTTGGGACATCCACACCCACACAACTCCTTGGCAATCTCTCACTTCATAAGTCCTTATACATGCTTGTTTAGGAATTTTGGCTTCTGCTGGAAGCTGCTAGAGCAGATTTGTGAAAGAAATTTATTAGAAACATGGATTTTGCAGCAAGATTTTAATACAAAGATTGGAATTCTAGGTGAATGAATATTAAAGAGGAAGTCGAGTATGCATTGACCTGACCTGAGGTATCTTCACACATTTGCCTTCGCCTTCAAATTGCCAACCATGGTATAAGCATTCCAACCTCCCATCAACTAATTGCCCTTCTGAAAGTTTGGCTAGCCTAAAGCAATCATCACATTAGAAATCAGCTGTCTATCTAATTTAGATGTCTATCAAAATAATTGTTTTGGAATTATCTTTTATCATTATTCAATCATCATTCTTGTAACACAAAATCTTTCCCACCCAACATTTAAATAAATTTAATTCTCTGCATTAACAAAGTAGATTCAACGAGTTGCGTCTATGTTTGAACAATTATGTTCCAACTTCCAAGTCATCATTTACAATATTAGTAGACAAAATGCTAGTAACATAATTGAAATTAGTAAGCTGGAAGCTAATTGAATGCAATGAAAGTGCTCGGTAAAATAAAATTAACGAGCTAAAGTATAGTTGTTGATAAGTATATTAGGTGACTCGTACTTCGTAGCTTTGTCCGCCCGATCGGGCGGACATTGCCCGGTCTGACCGGGCGGAAGAAGAAGAGGTGCCTGGCAAATTCGTTGAAGAAACTGCTCTCGCGCCCGACCGGGCGAGCCTTCGCCCGACCGGGCGAGCCTTCGCCCGATCGGGCAGACCTTGCCCGGTCTGACCGGGCGGTGGGGGTTGGATACGTTGAAGCATTCGTATGGAGTTTTCTTCTCGCGCCCGATCGGGCAGACCTTGCCCGGTCTGACCGGGCGGAGAAGGAAAAATACGGAACGCGGATTTTGCGGTTTTAGGTTATCTTATTTTATTATCTTTTTGCCCAAGTATCTTTTAATTAGGGATTAATATAAAACCTCCCTAATATCAGTATTAGGGTCAAGAGAGAGAGAGTGAGAGCCGTTCTTGAGAAATACAAGAATCATCTTTGTAATCTTTGCAGTTTATAGTGAAATCATTCGATCTCGGTGCCCGTGGACGTAGCTATCACATCGATAGTGAACCACGTAAATTCTTGGTGTTGTTCTTATTGTTTGCATTGAATTTCTTTATTGTTTTCTTGTTTGTTTTCGACCTTTGCTTCCGCTGTCGCACAACAATTGGTATCAAGAGCTCAGGTTCAATCCTTGGAGAGTTTCTTGAAGATAACAATGGCAGGAGATTCAACAATAAGAATTGAGAAGTTTACCGGGAAAAATAGTTTCGGGCTATGGCAAATTAAGATGAAGGCTCTGTTAAAACAACAGCAGATATGGCGTCCGTTGGCTCCAAAGAGTACTACTTCGGAGTCAGGAGACGGACCGACTGACTCGCAGTTAGAAGTTATGGAAGAGAAGGCACACTCTACCATATTACTTAGTCTTGATGATCAAATCATCACGGAGGTTGCTGATCAGGAAACGGCGGCTGGATTGTGGCTGAAGCTGGAGTCATTGTATATGACTAAGTCGTTGACCAACAAATTATTACTGAAACAGCGGTTGTTTAGCCTCCGGATGCAGTCAGGTACTTCCTTACGGGAACATCTAGAAAAACTTAACTCTATTTTGCTTGATTTACGTAATTTAGATGTTAAAATTGATGATGAGGATGCTGCGTTGATTTTACTTGTATCTCTACCGTCTAGCTTTGAGAATTTTGTAGAGTCTTTTGTTGTTGGTAAGGATTCTATAACCTTAGAAGAAGTGAAGGCAGCACTTCATACTAGGGAACTCAGAATGAAAGCTACGAGTGATAATGGGGAAAATGGTAGTGGGTTATTTGTTAAGTCCGGAAAGTCTAAAAAGAATAAGGGGTTTAACAAGGGGAACAATGCTGGGTCGGGTGCTGGAAACGGCAAGGATGGATCTAGTAAAACTACTACTAAAACATGTTATTACTGTAAAGAACCGGGTCACTTTAGGAATAATTGTCCGGTGAGGAAAAACAAGTCCCAGGCTGCTGTAGTTGAAGAGAAACCGAATGAGAGCTATAATTCAGAGGAAGATTTAGCATTAGTCAGTTCTGCTAGGTCTGATGATTTATCTGATAACTGGGTTCTAGATTCGGGGTGTTCGTTCCATATGTGTCCACGTCGAGATTGGTTTGATACATATGAACCTCGCAATGGGGGTATGGTTATAGTCGGTAACAATGCTCCATGTAAGGTCACAGGTATTGGTTCCATGAGGTTGAGGACTGTTGATGGGCGGAGGTTAACTTTGACTAATGTACGGCATGTTCCTGCTTTAGGAAAGAATCTGATTTCATTGGGTACCCTGGATGAATTGGGGTACAATGGTGTGTTTTCAGATGGGGAGTTGTGTATTTTCAGAGGTTCTGAGTTGGTACTTAAGGGTATCAAAAGGAACACCCTCTATGTTTTTGAGGGTGTTACACTGCCTAGTTCTGCGGTTTGCGCATCTGTATCTCACCAGGAGATGACTAAGATTTGGCACATGAGGCTTGGTCATATGGGGGAGAAGGGGATGCAGCTATTGTCCAAGAGGGGTCTTCTATCCGGGGTCAAGGTTGCCAACCTTGAATTTTGTGAGCATTGTGTGTTTGGTAAGAAACACAGGTCAAAGTTCAGCAAGGGTGCTCACATTACTGATGCAGTGCTCGATTACATCCATTCAGATTGCTGGGGTCCATCTAGAGTTGAAGGTATGGGAGGTTACCACTATTTTGTGTCATTTGTTGATGACAAGTCCCGATACACATGGCTTAGGTTGCTTAAGTCAAAGGATGAGGCCGTCAAAGTTTTCAAGCAATGGAAAGCTTTGGTGGAAAATCGACAAGGAAGGAAGATCAAGAAGCTACGAACGGACAATGGGCTAGAGTTTTGCAAAGACGAGTTTAATCAGTTCTGTGCAGATGAGGGTATAGGTCGGCATCATACTGTCAGGAAGACACCACAGCAGAACGGTGTAGCAGAACGGGTTAATCAGACACTGCTAGAGAGAGTTCGATGCATGCTCTCTAATGCAGGGCTTGGGAGGAGGTACTGGAGTGAAGCTGTGTTAACAGCTTGTTATGTCATTAATAGGGGTCCTCATTCTGGAATTGATTCCAAAATTCCGTTTGAGATCTGGAGTGGTAAGTTGCCTAATTTTTCGAATTTGAAGATTTTTGGTTGTGTTGCTTATTATCATGTTATTGAGGGTAAGCTGGATCCACGAGCCAAGAAGGGGTGTTTTGTTGGGTACGGGGATGGTGTGAAGGGGTTTAGAATTTTTTCACCTTCGGAGGGTCGGGTCATTCTTAGTAGGGATGTTACTTTCGATGAAAACACCATGTATTCAATTAAAAATGCAGAGATTTCAGATTTGAGAAGGGAAGGAGACAATTTATTACAGACAGATGGGGTACTTGAGGTACATCAGTCTACCATTGCTGATTTACCTCGGGTACAATATATTGATGATGATGCTGATGTTCCAGTGCCGGGTACTCCTGAACCTGAGATTACTCCTACTCATTCTAACTCTGGGGATGAGGTGGAGCAATCTAATCAGGGGTCATCTAGTCAACCTGACACCATTCTTGAGATGCCTAAACGAGTTATCAAGAAGCCTGTTAGATTGATTGAAGAGATGGAGGGAAGAAATTGCTGTGTTGATGCGATGACAGGTTATGCATTGAGTGTAGCTGATGATGTAGAGTCATTTGAACCTGCCACATATAAACAAGCAATTAGTTGTAGTGAGTCTGCGCAATGGCTTGCCGCAATGGGTGAAGAGATGCAGTCCCTTTACAAGAACAGAGTGTGGGAACTGGTAAAGGTACCGGAAGGGAGGAAGCTTGTGGGTTGTAAATGGATTTACAAGAAGAAAGAAGGGTTGTCGGAAACTGAGCAAATACGTTTTAAGGCTAGGCTAGTTGCTAAGGGGTTCAGTCAGGTAGAAGGGGTTGACTTTGTTGAGATATTCTCACCTGTGGTTCGACATACTTCTATCCGTGTGTTATTGTCAATTGTAGCACATTTTGATCTTGAGCTGGAGCAGTTGGATGTTAAAACGGCTTTCCTTCATGGCGATTTGGAGGAGGAGATTCTGATGAAGCAGCCCGAAGGATTCGAAGTTCCTGGAAAGGAACACTATGCCTGCAGATTGCTAAAGTCATTGTATGGACTTAAGCAATCCCCCCGACAGTGGTACAAAAGGTTTGATTCTTTTATGGTTTCACAAGGTTTTGACAGGAATTCATATGATTGCTGTGTGTATCATAGTAAGCTGGATAATGGTTCCATGATTTATCTTTTGTTATATGTTGATGACATGTTGGTTGCCACAAAGAATAAATCTGATATTGCTAGATTAAAGGAGATGCTTAACTCGGAGTTTGACATGAAAGACTTGGGTGCAGCTAGGAAGATTTTGGGTATGGAGATCTACAGGGATCGGGCTAGAGGTAAGCTTTTCTTGACTCAGAAAAGCTACATTGAAAAGATTTTGTCTCGTTTTGGGATGGAAAAATCGAAGCCTATAAGTACGCCAACTACTGTTAGTTGTAAGTTGTCTTTGTCTATGTCACCTCAATCAGAGGAGGAGTTGTCTTATATGTCTAGAGTTCCATATGCAAACGCGGTTGGTTGTTTGATGTATGCTATGGTCTGTACTAGGCCGGATATTGCGCATGCTGTTAGTGTTGTAAGCAGGTTTATGGCTCGACCTGGGAGGGAACACTGGCAAGGGGTGAAAAGGATTTTTCGCTACCTGAGAGGGACAACTGATATTGGTCTTGTGTACGGGAATGGTAGGGAATGCTTGGTCACTGGGTACAGTGATTCTGATTATGCAGCTGATGTGGATACCAGGAGGTCTGTGACTGGTTATGTGTTCACTTTGGGTGGTTCTGTGGTTAGTTGGAAGTCTACATTGCAGTCATCAGTTACGTTGTCAACTACTGAAGCTGAGTATATGGCTCTAACTTCTGCAGCTAAGGAGTCTATTTGGCTCAAAGGCCTAGTAGGTGAACTGGGTATTGCACAGGATTTTGCTACAGTGTATTGTGATAGTCTAAGTGCGATTTGCTTAGCTAAAGATCAAGTACACCATGATCGGACGAAGCACATTGATGTCAGGTATCATTTCTTGCGTACTGACAAGAGGATTAAGGTGAAGAAGATTGGGACTGCTGACAACCCGGCTGATTTCTTCACTAAGCCTGTTCCGTTTAGCAAGTTTAAACATTGCTTAGACTTGCTAAATATTGATTACTACGTGATGTAGTAGGCCCTGAGGGGCGAAGTTGGGGAGCTCCTGGTGTAGGTGTGTTGGCCTTAAGGTGGAGCTTGCCCGGGGCTTGTGATGCAGGTGGAGCATTATGAGTTGTTATACTTGGAGACGAGTATGTGATGGGTCTTGGTTGAAGACTTATCGGGATGTATGGCTTATGCATGAGTCTTGCATCGGGTTTGGCTTGAGATGTTTTTTCACTATGTCTTGATGGGGTCGTTTGCTGACTACGAGTTCTCGTCAAGGTGGAGATTGTTGATAAGTATATTAGGTGACTCGTACTTCGTAGCTTTGTCCGCCCGATCGGGCGGACATTGCCCGGTCTGACCGGGCGGAAGAAGAAGAGGTGCCTGGCAAATTCGTTGAAGAAGCTGCTCTCGCGCCCGACCGGGCGAGCCTTCGCCCGACCGGGCGAGCCTTCGCCCGATCGGGCAGACCTTGCCCGGTCTGACCGGGCGGTGGGGGTTGGATACGTTGAAGCATTCGTATGGAGTTTTCTTCTCGCGCCCGATCGGGCAGACCTTGCCCGGTCTGACCGGGCGGAGAAGGAAAAATACGGAACGCGGATTTTGCGGTTTTAGGTTATCTTATTTTATTATCTTTTTGCCCAAGTATCTTTTAATTAGGGATTAATATAAAACCTCCCTAATATCAGTATTAGGGTCAAGAGAGAGAGAGTGAGAGCCGTTCTTGAGAAATACAAGAATCATCTTTGTAATCTTTGCAGTTTATAGTGAAATCATTCGATCTCGGTGCCCGTGGACGTAGCTATCACATCGATAGTGAACCACGTAAATTCTTGGTGTTGTTCTTATTGTTTGCATTGAATTTCTTTATTGTTTTCTTGTTTGTTTTCGACCTTTGCTTCCGCTGTCGCACAACAATAGTGAATGCCACGAATGGTGTAAATGGATATATACTTGCATAACTAAAAGGCTACATGATGCATAATATTTTATACATGAAGCACATGAACTATATTGAACATAAAGTAGTTTACATTAATTTAAAAAAATTATTGAGATAGTTTTGCATTTTAGCTTGATTTAATTTTAACCCAAACACTTTCAAATTATGCAAATTTCTCATCTCAAATCTCAAATCAACTAGGTTGAAATGCCTTGTTAAACAATGTTTAAGTCTCTAATCATTGAACCATACTCCCAACATTCAAACGTCATACTAGATTACAACGAATCAAAAAAATCATAGAATTCCAAATATAATCAATCAATAATGTACAATTCAAGACCTCAGTGTGTACTCTACAACATATATAATTATAATGTGCATAATTTACATTATAAATGAAGGGATCCTGAAGATCAAATCATTCAATTTCAATTTACAGTCCAACTTCCTTCAGCAAGTTTTCAATTTAACAAGAGTAAAACCCAAATAATATACTATGTCATGAACGTACGGGTGGAAGTCGTGACACCCAACCCATTGAACCCAAACCCGATATTAAATCAAGTCTACATCTTTCACACTTAAATAAATATACTCGCACTTAATGAACGTACGGGTGGAAAGTCATGACACCCGAGACCAATCACGTCTACATCACTCACACTTTAATTAGTAATTAATTATCTAAAATCGGCAAGAGGATAGTTAATTACCTGTGGGGGCAACGATCTTCGTAGCACCTGAGCTCACCAGAAGCATCACGAAACAAAACAAGCTGTTTATGAAAAACAGTAAGACCCAAAGGAGCATCTTCTGGAATGTTCTTAGTCAAGTAAAGTGGGTACCATTCTTCTGTCCAATCATAATCTACCACCTCTCTCTCTCCTCTGACTTCTGCTTCACTGCTGGGACCCACAAACACTTCATCTTCTTCTCCTGAAGCTGATGATCCAACTGCAACATCTGATGCAATTGCATGTAGTTTATTGAATGATAATTTGGGTTTTTGATTTGAAGTCTTGATGAAATTGTGAAGTTTCAGGTGGGAATTTGATGGGGTTTGTGAGAAACAGAGTATTGGGGTTTTTAAGAGAGTAGTACATGGAAGAATTGCTTGCAAAATTGCCATCTTTTTTTTGGAAACTTTTAATTTAAGCTAAAATTGTCCCAAACAATTTGGGTATTTATTACATTGAGAAAGAGAGAGAGAGAGAAAAAATGGGAATTTTTGGTTGCTTGGTAAGTTGGGGCATAGCTCCTGGCCACACATTGCTAATTAGTAATTAGTGAAGGTGTTGTATTCATTGTTGACCATAAATTTTGAATTTAGAACAATTTACAAGTTTAGGCTTTTTCTCCAGGACTAGGAATTTTGTAAAGCTTAGATTAAATATGTTCAATTCAGTAAAAATAAATAATTTTAAAGAAAAGAAATATAATAGAGATTCAGTAAAATCAATTTTAGTTTAGTTTAGATAATTTCAATTCAACAAAAATAAGGTGAATAAAACAAAATTTTATATGATGTACGGAGCATGCGATTAATATTTTGACAATATACTCCGCATTTTTATCAATTCTAGCAAAATAATACAAGTAGAGTACTAAATACGAATAAATGTTTTGGGACTTAAAAGGTGATACTCCGTACTAGTTATTAGTGCATTGAGTTCTTAATAACTTGTACTTATGTCCTACTTAGTATGTAGTTATGTACTTTGTGATAATCATTTATTTATTTAGTGATGAGTAAATTCATTAATAAAGATTGAGAATAAAATTTGGCTAGCTAAATTTTGAGTAGTTTATAATTTCCATTTGTTAGTTTAGGAAGATACGTTTGAAGATGTACCTTTGTTTTGTTTTTTTTTTTTTTTTTTAAAATATTGATTACAACCTTTTTTTTCTGGATTAGGTGAAAAAATTTATCACAAAGTTCTTGTTCTAATGCTAAAATATGGTAGATTTTAAGTATTAGTTTAAGTATTTGTTTCAATTAAAATGCTGATTTGTTTTATAAAAAATTATTGTTAAATTAACATTGTAATTCATAATTCGGTTAAGTAAAAACTGTGCATTGCACGGAACTTAAACTAGTAACTTAATACTAAAACAGACACCAGGAGTGACACATGTCACCACTTTATGCTGTTTTTTCCCTCCAAAATCCCCTTTCCTTTTTAACCTTTTTTAGATATTTGATACAAATATTATTCCATATCTTTTATATAATCTTCTTAATTGACAAATATATTTTTTTGTTATTTGGTGTTCATAATTCTTTCATAAACATTTACCTAAAGTATTATTCCAACTCATTTTAATCATCTTTTAAATGGAGTATTATTGAATTTGCCAAAAAAAAAGTAACAATAAATTAGATTTTACTAAAACATTATTTCAATTCATTTTTAAGTATCTTTCCAATAACTTGAAACGAGTCTTTTTTTGGGCAATGCCTAACCGACTCATGATCACTTTTAGTAGTAACACAAGATTTTGAGACCTTTTATTTAAGGGAGAAATTAAATAAGATATAATTTATCTAAAATATTCGAAAATATGGTGGAGAGTATAAAATAACGTAGCCAAAAATACAATATTAACATTAGAATTAATGAATTATCATTACAGTTGCACAATAGATGGGTTCATCAGAAAAAAAAAAAAAAAAAAAAAAAAAAAAAAAACTATTCTTGGTATATTGATTTGAAATCTTATGAAGCAATACTAATTGAGTTAATTTGCTATTAAATATTTTTTTGGATTTTTTTAACTTATATATTTTTTTAATGATTTTCTTCCCACAAAAAAAAAAAATTTTAAAAAAAACATGATAAAGACATTATCAGTGAAATATGAGATAAAAATATAATGAAAAAAGTAAAGATAAAAAAGGAGAAATAATATTAAGATTTTTTTTTTTTTGAAAACAGCAGAAGACACAGCAAATAAAAAAGAAAAAGGAACTTAAAAAAATCAAAAGGAATAGAGTTAGCAAACGTTGAACAGTCTGCCGGCACTGATTTCCTCATTAATGTGCATGCTCTAAGGTGTCCAAATTGCCAAACGTTTTTATTTTATATTTATCTAAAACTAACATGAACTTATGTATCAAAATTTTTACTTTGCCTTTTAATATAGATTATGACATTTTAATTATTATATATTTTTTTTTATCAAATTTTATTTGTTAGACATAATTAATTAATTTTAAAAATTAAATTAGAATACCGTGCATGCACGGGTCTTAAGCTAGTTTTATCTAAAACTCTGCATATAGGGAAATGGAGTATTTATATTTTGTAATTTTTACAAAACAGGGAGTTGTTCAACGTGAAAAATGTGCCATGTTAGTTGTTACTAGGTGTGACGTAATTTGTCGTAGCACAATATGCAAATTAAAAATAATTGTCCACTTTTAATTTTTTTTGTGTATGTGTGTGGTAAGAAATTAGTACGGAGTATAAATTAAAATGCCAATAAGCGTATGAGCTAGCAAATCCACTTCTAAATCAAGCATATGTTGGGTTACTCCAAATTTGTTGTCTTTTCATTTCTTATGCTTACCGCATCAGGTATACTTTTAAAAGGTTGTTTGGTTCTTTAAATTGTACGGAGTAATGAATTGGTATAGAATCTCACGCAAGGGACTAGGGAGGTATGAATTCTAAACCCATTTATTTGGAATGATTTTTACAATTCATTAAAGAAATGAATTGTGAGTTTTAGGGGGTGAGGTGTGTATGAGATTATAGGGGATAGAATGGAATTAGTCAACTAGAATTCCTTGGTATGAAATTTCATATCTAAATATGCCTAACCAAACAACCCCTAAATTAATTTCACTAAATAAATGATAATGAAATTTTTTGATGCTTCTATCTGATCATTAAGGGTCCGTTTGGCATTGCTGTGGTTTTCTATTTTTTGGTTTTTTGTTGTATAAAAACATATGATATATGTCACGTAATGAATAAAAAATTATTTAAACTTATTAAAATCATAATAATTTTAAAAACCGACAACAAAAAAGTGGAATCACCTTTTTTTTCCTGTTTTTGATTTTTAGTTTTTTTTTTAAAAAAAAAAAACTAAAAACAAAAAATGATGTCCAACAAGCCCTAAATTAATAGTTTGTTAAATAAATTTATTGTCAATTTATTTTATTTCTAAACTACCCGTCCATCGAATAGCGGGGCTAAGGTCTTAAGGAGTAGAGCTGATTAAGATTGTCCCATTAATATAAACACACTAGGCCAATATTAGTCCGTTATTAATAACATATATACTTTAATTATTGTTTCAAATTAATTGTCGCATTTGCTATTTCAAGATTTCTGAAGACAGATACTACGTATTTAATTTGATAAGAGTAGCAAGCTAGTGTTGAAGTTTATCCTACCAAATAACACATGTAAGTGTCCCACATTGATAAAAGAAGAGAGAGTTAAACACTTTATAAGGCTACTCCTCCTATTGCCATATGGTTTTGAGGTGGAACCTCTATATATAGTGGACAGTTGTGTCGGGTGTGACCCAGACCCGTTTATCATGGTATCAGAGCCAGGTTAAGTTGTGTTGTAATCTGGGCCAATATTATGGACAACTCATTTGCAACAGTTATCAAAAAAGGATGCTTTATATTATTTGCAACAAAACTATTTCTTTCCTAATATAGTAACTTTTTTTTGATAAAATGATCAAAATACCCTTATTTAAAATTTATTAACACATGATACTATACATAATTACAAATTATTTTAACCCTAATCTAACTTTATCATCTTAAGTTTTTCCCCCAAAAAAATCAAATTCATCATCTTATCTCCCCACCAATCCACCATCTCTCTCCTCCATCTTCATCCCTCACTTCATCATCTTTTTCCCTTTTCATATATCATCTCCTTCTTCATTTCTCATCTCTCATTTCTCATCTTTCACATCTCCTTCTTCATTTCTCATTTGGTTCGTGGGTGGTTGTTGGTGGTTTGTGGGTGGCTTTAGTAGATCTGGTGGTTTTGTAGTTTGTGGGTGGTTTTTCTGGTTTGTGGGTGATTGTTGGTGGTTCGTGGGTGAGTGTTGGTGTTCTGGGCAGTTCATGGGTGTTGGTGTTCTGGCAGTTCGTGGGTTTTGGTGGTTTTGGTGATGGTTTTCAATCGATTCGTGGGTGTTGGTGGTTTACGGTGGTGGTGGTTTCAGGGGTGGTGGTTTTCTATGGTGGTAGTTTTGGGTGGTAGTGGTTGTAATACCCCGTATTTTCATACATATTTTCCTAATTAATTATTATTTTCTAAAAGGGTATTTTAGTAATTCAACTTACTATTTAAATCTTGGAGCCAAAATGATATTTGAATTTTGGCGCCAAAAGTATTTTGAAAACTAATCATTATTTTGGATAAGATTTATTATCCATTTATCCTATTTTAAAAACCGGATTATATATATTTCGGATATTTTAATTAAGGAAAAAGCTATATTTTATTATTAATTTTAATAGGTCCGAAAATCCCAATTATTTAGTTAATAATTTCGGATTTTCCTATGTGAAATTCTGATTTTTATTTAGTTAAATTATTTGGTGAATATTTGGTATTTTGTTATTTAATTTTTTATTACAATAAATATTATTTACACAATTATTTTTATTCCTTTAAACTAGCAAAATATATTCCTAAATACTAAATAGGAAGGCCAAAAATATGAGCTTAGGAAAGCTCAATAATTTCGGCCATCCCATAAAGATTTTGGGAAAATATTTTGGTAATTTGTATTTTTAATTATCTCCCTAAAATCTCCTATTTTCCATAATTTTAATTCTCCATCTTTTTGATATCCAATTATTATGTTTTCTTTCCATTCATTCTTCTTAATTATTCCCCAAGCAATCCCAATTTCCTTAATATTTTTCATGACATACATACCTTCCATATTCAATTATACACAATCCCTTCAAATATCAAAACTTTCCTTAAATCTTTGCTCACTTCTCCAAGTAATCTCTTAAACCCTAATTACCATAATTCTTCCTATATTTTACTACCATAATTCATGCTCATTCTATCCTATAAATACCCCTTCATACCTCTCACATTCTTCACACCAATTCTCTTCTTTTCTTCTCCTCAATTTTACACAAATCATCCCGTTCATCTTTGAAGCCAATTTTCGGGTACTTCTGTTCAGTTTTTGGGGTAGTAACGTTTCACAAAAAGTTGTTCCTCTCGAAAAATCCTTGAGTTTAGGCTCAAGAATCACCCAATTC